AGATAAAACATACACCTGTATTTATATGCAAATTGCATGTCCATCCCAAGTATTATATAAGATTGAAAGTTAAAAGAGCAGACTGATTGAAATTATTAGTATGCATTGGTAATCGAACGTTAGAACAATAGAGTTACGAATATTTCCAATTCATAATAATCATTGTGATAACAAAGTGTGTTTGATAATAACCATTCGAAAAACAAAGTGTGTTCCAAAATAATCATTGTGACAACAAAGTATGTTTCTTTATAATCATTGTGACAACAAAGTATGTTTCATAATAATCATTGTGACAACAAAGTGTGTTTCTTAATAATCATTGTGACAACAAAGTATGTTTCATAATAATCATTGTGACAACAAAGTGTTTCATTATAATCATTGTGACAACAAAGTATGTTTCTTTATAATCATTGTGACAACAAAGTATGTTTCTTTATAATCATTGTGACAACAAAGTGTGTTTCTTAATAATCATTGTGACAACAAAGTATGTTTCATAATAATCATTGTGACAACAAAGTATGTTTCATTATAATCATTGTGACAACAAAGTGTTTCATTATAATCATTGTGACAACAAAGTGTTTCATTATAATCATTGTAACAACAAAGTATGTTTCTTTATAATCATTGTGACAACAAAGTGTGTTTGATAATAATCATTGTGACAACAAAGTATGTTTCATAATAATCATTGTGATAACAAAGTGTTTCATTATAATCATTGTGACAACAAAGTGTTTCATTATAATCATTGTAACAACAAAGTATGTTTCTTTATAATCATTGTGACAACAAAGTGTGTTTCTTAATAATCATTGTGACAACAAAGTATGTTTCATAATAATCATTGTGACAACAAAGTGTTTCATTATAATCATTGTGACAACAAAGTGTTTCATTATAATCATTGTGACAACAAAGTGTTTCATTATAATCATTGTGACAACAAAGTGTTTCATTATAATCATTGTGACAACAAAGTGTTTCATTATAATCATTGTGACAACAAAGTGTTTCATTATAATCATTGTGACAACAAAGTATGTTTCTTTATAATCATTGTGACAACAAAGTGTGTTTCATAATAATCATTGTGACAACAAAGTATGTTTCATAATAATCATTGTGACAACAAAGTGTTTCATTATAATCATTGTGACAACAAAGTGTTTCATTATAATCATTGTGACAACAAAGTATGTTTCTTTATAATCATTGTGACAACAAAGTATGTTTCTTTATAATCATTGTGACAACAAAGTGTGTTTCTTTATAATCATTGTGACAACAAAGTATGTTTCATAATAATCATTGTGACAACAAAGTGTTTCATTATAATCATTGTGACAACAAAGTATGTTTCTTTATAATCATTGTGACAACAAAGTATGTTTCTTTATAATCATTGTGACAACAAAGTGTGTTTCTTAATAATCATTGTGACAACAAAGTATGTTTCATAATAATCATTGTGACAACAAAGTGTTTCATAATAATCATTGTGACAACAAAGTGTTTCATTATAATCATTGTGACAACAAAGTGTTTCATTATAATCATTGTGACAACAAAGTATGTTTCTTTATAATCATTGTGACAACAAAGTGTTTCATTATAATCATTGTGACAACAAAGTGTGTTTCTTTATAATCATTGTGACAACAAAGTATGTTTCTTTATAATCATTGTGACAACTTTATAATCATTGTGTGTTTCTTTTAATAATCATTGTGACAACAAAGTATGTTTCATAATAATCATTGTGACAACAAAGTGTTTCATTATAATCATTGTGACAACAAAGTGTTTCATTATAATCATTGTGACAACAAAGTGTTTCATTATAATCATTGTGACAACAAAGTGTTTCATTATAATCATTGTGACAACAAAGTGTTTCATTATATCATTGTGACAACAAAGTATGTTTCTTTATAATCATTGTGACAACAAAGTGTGTTTCTTAATAATCATTGTGACAACAAAGTATGTTTCATAATAATCATTGTGACAACAAAGTGTTTCATAATAATCATTGTGACAACAAATATGTTTCTTTATAATCATTGTGACAACAAAGTATGTTTCTTTATAATCATTGTGACAACAAAGTGTGTTTCTTAATAATCATTGTGACAACAAAGTATGTTTCATAATAATCATTGTGACAACAAAGTATGTTTCATAATAATCATTGTGACAACAAAGTGTTTCATTATAATCATTGTGACAACAAAGTGTTTCATTATAATCATTGTGACAACAAAGTGTTTCATTATAATCATTGTGACAACAAAGTATGTTTCTTTATAATCATTGTGACAACAAAGTGTGTTTGATAATAACCATTCATTGAACAACAAAGTATGTTTCATAATAATCATTGTGATAACAAAGTGTTTCATTATAATCATTGTGACAACAAAGTGTTTCATTATAATCATTGTGACAACAAAGTATTTCATTATAATCATTGTGACAACAAAGTGTTTCATTATAATCATTGTGACAACAAAGTGTTTCATTATAATCATTGTGACAACAAAGTATGTTTCTTTATAATCATTGTGACAACAAAGTGTGTTTCTTAATAATCATTGTGACAACAAAGTATGTTTCATAATAATCATTGTGACAACAAAGTGTTTCATTATAATCATTGTGACAACAAAGTGTTTCATTATAATCATTGTGACAACAAAGTATGTTTCATAATAATCATTGTGACAACAAAGTGTTTCTTAATAATCATTGTGACAACAAAGTGTTTCATTATAATCATTGTGACAACAAAGTGTTTCATTATAATCATTGTGACAACAAAGTATGTTTCTTTATAATCATTGTGACAACAAAGTGTGTTTCATAATAATCATTGTGACAACAAAGTGTTTCATTATAATCATTGTGACAACAAAGTATGTTTCTTTATAATCATTGTGACAACAAAGTATGTTTCATTATAATCATTGTAACAACAAAGTATGTTTCTTTATAATCATTGTGACAACAAAGTGTGTTTGATAATAACCATTCGAACAACAAAGTATGTTTCATAATAATCATTGTGATAACAAAGTGTTTCATTATAATCATTGTGACAACAAAGTGTTTCATTATAATCATTGTAACAACAAAGTATGTTTCTTTATAATCATTGTGACAACAAAGTGTGTTTCTTAATAATCATTGTGACAACAAAGTATGTTTCATAATAATCATTGTGACAACAAAGTGTTTCATTATAATCATTGTGACAACAAAGTGTTTCATTATAATCATTGTGACAGCAAAGTATGTTTCATAATAATCATTGTGACAACAAAGTGTTTCATTATAATCATTGTGACAACAAAGTATGTTTCATTATAATCATTGTGACAACAAAGTGTTTCATTATAATCATTGTAACAACAAAGCATGTTTCATTATAATCATTGTGACAACAAAGTGAGTTTCATAATAATCATTGTGACAACAAAGTGTTTCATTATAATCATTGTGACAACAAAGTGTTTCATTATAATCATTGTGACAACAAAGTGTGTTTTATAATGATTATCGTAATAAAAAATATTTTTTAATGATAATCATAGTGAAACAGGGCAAAACTCATTATACTCAAATTCAATTAATGATAATTTTATGATGATTGCTTTTTAATATTTTAATTTGTTGACAGTTTTGAGGAAACTACAATACGGACAGATTATTTTATTACCTCTTCTAGCATGAAATATAGTGGGTTAAATAAGTATTTCGTAGATAACAGATGTTTTCTGTAAACGAAAAGCAGAAACCGAAACAGAAACTGTTTGTCTCATTAAGGGAGTGTTTCTTCGTTAACTAACACTGACATTGTCTGGACCTGTATAGCTTATCAGAAATACCTGTTTGTTTAAATGAATCAACACTGATACTACATCTAAACGCCTCTTTATCTTTATGCAGTTGAAATGAAGCATCGGTTTTTATATTTGTAATTGATACATATTCTGACATTATAACTTGATATCTTAAACATTTTTTTTTTTTAAATAACGGACTGACTACTGATCTTAGATTCATATGATCTGATATCTTGACGTTTTGGTATTGTAAGCAGACTAGGTTTAAGACGAGGTCATATGACAACATTAAATGGCGAAGACCGAAAAATAGCCAAGGATATATGGTTTAATCCTGTTTGTCCAAAACTGAAAATTTATACATCCTGTTTGTCCCGAAATCCTGTGTGTTGTTATAACAGTAAGGTACTGCAGTGTTGTTTTAACAGGTAAGGGAAGTTGTCCCAAAATTCATACAGGTAAATTAGTATGTGGTATTTTGTAAAAATGTGTACATATATGTGTGTGTATTTCAGTTTGAAAAAAAAAATAAACAAATAGATATATAATATTATTTTAAGCATTTTGTTTTCTCTTAAACATTTCATCTGAAATTATCGTACTATTAAATGGGTTTGTGATCATTATTTTATACAAACTTATTCTGAACTCAAACTCATAATTAATTTTAATGATTAATTAAGAAAATACATATCATGGATCTCATAAAAACCAATTAGACAATTAAGGTTTTTAAATGAGTAATTAAGAGAACAACTGTGATAGATTTGAATGTGAACAGTTAATACCAAACTGAGTTTGAGATGAATACCCAAGCTACATGTCATCATGCTGAGTGGAAATAGTGAATACCCAAGCTTAACGGAAGTACATATATATCACAAGAGTTGGAAATGGACATTATCGTTGCAACTATGGCAAACTACCAAGTTCAAGTTGAATTCACAACCAACAAGCGTGGTGGTCGGACTCTACATCAAGCCGGATTTAGCTATATGGTGAAGAACAACAACCGAGATACAACCTATTGGAGATGCTGCATTAGAGACTGTCCAGCAACCATCAACACCAGAGATGACATTCCAGTGAAGATGGGCCACCAGCACAACCACCAACCGATTTCAAGTAGAAGTAAAGAATGTCATGAATAGTATAAAGAAGAGATGCAGAGAAGAACTTAAAGCCGTACCCGCCATCTACGACGAAGAAATCGCCCACTTACAGACATTAGATTGGACAGATGACAAACGACGAATGGTGGAACAGATACCAACTTATCCCTCCTGCAAGACATCCCTCTACCACAGCAGAGCGAAGCTATTACCCAAACTACCGACTTCAGTGGCAAATATCACACTAGAGAACGAATGGACGCTCACCAACACAGGGGACCAGTTTGTACTATTCGATGACAACAGAGACAACTCGAGGATTTTAGCCTTTGCCACTACCAGTAACCTAGAGATCCTGTCAACAGCTACCACTCTGTATTGCGAAGGAACATTCTACACTTGTCCGAGGTTCTCCAGTCAACTATACACCATCCATGCCATGATAGACAACCAGATGTACCCACTTGTATTTACACTCTTACCAGGGAAGTCACAGCTCATCTACACCAGGTTCTTGGAGAAAGGGTGCTTCTTCCACTTCACGCAGTGCATTTGGAGAAAGACGCAACAACTCGGACTCCAGACCTACTATAGAGACAACGAGGATATCCACAGACTTGTTAGACGTGCAGCTGTTCTCCCACTTATACCTCCACAACGCATTGAGAACTACTGGTTCAACGCAATGGATGACCTTGAAGATGTCGACCTACCAGTGGATACAACACCATTCACCGACTATGTCACAACCCAATGGATAGAAAGAGACCGACATGTTTGGAACCACTTCGACAACGACGGGCCGAGGACTACCAACAATCTTGAAGGATGGCACAGCAAACTCAAGAAGAGGATTCCACATGCGCACCCAAACATCTATCTGTTCATCCGTGTACTGAAAGACATCCAAGCTGCCAATGACATCAACCGGATTCAACGTGCAGCTGGAGGTTTACCTGTGCCAAAGAGACGACGCTATCGGAACCTGGCTGACCGCCTGATCCAATTGAAGACTCTCCTACAGAACGACGAGATCAACTTCATCAATTATGGAGACAGAGCCACATATCTATTGCATATGGAGTGATAAAACTGAATATATCCAACAGTGTTATTCTTAGAACTATCTTAAAGTGTTTAATGGACCATCTTACAGTTTTTAATGTGTCTTCGTGCTAAATGGAATTATCTTCTAGTGTTCAAGTGTGAGACAAAATGGAATCACCTTATAGTGTACAAAGAGAACAGTGCTTATTGGAACCATTTTACAGTAACAAAAAATAGTGTATTAGTGTTTATAAAAGCTGCCTCTTCTTAAAGTGACATTAGTGCTAAGATATTTTATTAATTGGAAACAATATGGAACAGAAATACTATTTGTATATATCTTGTTATTGTCAATATTATATAACTTATATAAGCTATTATATAACTTATATAGGCTAAAAATGTACATGCTATTTGATTTAGAACAAATATCTTTCAGTGCTTATTTTGACCATTTTAAAGTAACAAATAGTGCAATGGATGTGTAAGTGTTGAGTAATGGAGACTATCTAATTTGTGCTATACTTGTAATGACTTATTCACCTGGATTTACCTGTATTTCACCTGGATTTACCTGTATTTCACCTGGTACCTGTATTTCACCTGGTACCTGTATTTCAAATAAAATGTCTAATGATCATAATTACCTGTTGTTTTCTTTGCCATTACTGGCTTATATACACAATTCCTGTTTGTCCCAACTTATTTTTTACCTGTTTTACCACTTTTGGGACAAACAGGACTACACAGGATATATAAATGCTCAGTGTGGCGGATGTCGTCGATGAAGCAGGGTCTCCATATCAGTTTTTCTTTTTTTTCATATTTTGTCCTAGTTTTATTGAATTTAAGTTTGGATTATGATAACGTTGCCACCTTATTACCTTCTAACTAAAGTGATATTACTGTTTTGGCGCTTCAGTTTTTTTCAATATATTTGATTTGATGCCAAAGTAGTTCAGAATAAAAGGTATGTTGTTTGTAACGGTACGTGCAACCTTGAACGTTTCATAGAACAATTGGACCTTTGTTCGCCTATATCTATTTTGTATAGATGTTTAAGCTATATTGTTAAGTACCTGTCATGTATCGAACCTTATCATTGAAGTGATATGTTTACATATTAGAACATAGCACCAGAAATATGTTTGTAAATAATTTAGCGTAAACTTTTACTAAAACGAAGTGAATTGTGTGGAGAAATGGGAACGACATTATGAAATTTCACAGCGCCAAGGACAAAGTTTATACATCAATTAAAACTCAAATAAATTTATTATAGCTGTGACTTATAAGATTAAAGTATTCGAGAGCGGCTCTAGAGCAGAACAAAATGAACCTCTGTGATGCTTGATTTCCTTGTTCAATATTATGTCAAATTTACTACAGTGCACAACACACTGAAAATCCATCACAGTAAAAACTTCTGCGGATTACAAGGACAAATTCAAAACAGAAATTGTTAATTGTTCATATTGTTCAAAATAACGTCAAACTACAGCGACACATTACGTCAGATAAACAACACCAGCACATTACGTCAGATAAACAACACCAGCACTTTACGTCAGATAAACAACACCAGCACTTTACGTCAGATAAACAACACCAGCACTTTACGTCAGATAAACAACACCAGCACATTACGTCAGATAAACAACACCAGCACTTTACGTCAGATAAACAACACCAGCACTTTACGTCAGATAAACCACACCAGCACATTACGTCAGATAAACAACACCAGCACATTACGTCAGATAAACAACACCAGCACATTACGCGAATACATTTGAGAACAGTAACAACCAACTCACTCAAATTACGTACACTGAACTGCAGCGGCACATTACACGGGAATAAATTTACCACAGTGATAATATCCTAATTCAGAGTTATAACAGATAAACAGAACCGGCACTTTTCAATGATAACGTTTACTACAGTGAAAATATCCTAGTTCAGAATTATGTCAAACAACACCGGCACATTACAAGAAAAAATGTACCACGTGATATTATCCTAGTTCAGAATTATGTCAAACAACACCGGCACATTACAAGGACAAAATGTACCACGTGATAATATCCTAGTTCAGAATTATGTCAAACAACACCGGCACATTACCAGGACAAAATGTACAAATCAAAGGTAATAAAATGCTACGATATAGATCGGGTGTTGTACAAGCACAACATTTCAATAAATGCCATTACTTGCAACTCTCAATGGGTTCAAAAGGGCGTCAAGTACATGGATATATTCTGTGCCGTGCCAAAAAAAACATGGAGATAATGGGGAACGTCAGGGACTAAAAGCCTACTTGTAGTGTCTACCCCCTACAAACCAGAAGGATCATACAAAAGCATTTATAAAAGTGTACAGCACCTTCCGATACAAATTTAACATGAGGTACAGTAGAGCTGTGCAATATTTAAACTACATTATACCACTGTTGCCTTTTTATATATAAAGGGTCATATTTTGCCATAAAACAGAGCTTGAGATGTCTACTCTCACTCTACTGTTGCTCGGAATTCAATGAGTAAAATTTGAAATTTTGAGAGACATCTTGTTTATAACGATTGTCCTGGTTTATCGTTTCACTAATATAAATGTCCATGTTAGTTGTTACTGTACATTCCTGGATCAGAAAGGCCTTTTCACGTTATATAATGCTTTACAGATTTAGTTTGCGTAAAATTTTCGGACATCATAAATTGCTCAGTTTAAGATATATGAATACTGACGGATTAGGGTAATGAAAATATCGGTTCAGTGTAGATCTAGTACCACTCACGTCATGAATGTCAGAATTCGATCGTGGAAAGTTCCGCCCATTAAATACTTCCCTTTACACCTCCGTACGTTTTCAAATTACATTTTGTCGATTTGAAATAGAAAGTGGACATGCATGTTTACTGTATTCAGAATTAATTTTTTGTAAAATTATCCATTAAAAGCGTCAAGGTTATGAAAAACTAGATCATTTTATTCATTTACGTTATACACATCAACGAAAAGCATTAATTCGTATGTATTTATCATTTCAGTTAGCACTTCGTAAGTTCTGTTTCATACCTGAAATCCGCTATAAAAAAGGAAGAAAATAAGGTTTTAAATATACTCTGAATCCAAGCTCAAAATCTAAGAAAATCTGTCAAATTATGATCAAATGAAATATTTAAACACAGACTTGTGAAAAAATGTAAAACCTAATAATATGAGGTGTTACGGAAGGATAAGCGTCTTCTGTCCGCACTCGCCATGTAAAAGTTGATTAATTCAATTGATTAAAGTCGTGTTTAATATGAGTGCAAGGTGAACATCAACGAAACCACAAAGCATACAATTTTTTTTATATGCTTCTGCTGATGTTACACGGAGAATCCCGAAAAGTAGGCGACAAAGGAATGTAAACATTTGACGTAATAGTCATCGACTTATAGATAGGAGGTGCACGTGCACCATTAATACTGATTATTCTAACGTTCTATCGATTTTTATGTATCGATCTTCAGTCAACTACAGACCGATATAAAAAATCTGTCGATACAACGTCCAAACAATCCGAACTAAAACACCATATGTCAATAAACTTCATCGTATTCAACTATGAAAGCGTTGTAAACGATGCCAAATATATGGAGATCGCCATCATTAAAATGAATTAGAATGCGGTACAGCACTGTTGCCTCATATCGATGTAAAGAGTCCTACTTTTACCACAACACTCAGGCTAACGTTGCTGGGTTCCCAATAGACAAGATATTTTATTGACTCACTGTAGTGTACGTTCCTATGTTTTCTAGTTGATCTTTTAATTATCATTAATGTCCATAGTGCTTGCTGTTTTACACACCTGGATCAGCGAAACCTTTCTCTCGCTCTAATCAAGGTTTTCCAGATTTTGCTATAATATAACGCCGTTTCGAGATAAAGGAGCTTGGCGTGGCTCAAGTAACGTTCGCATTAAGAATGTCAGATTACTATCGTGGAAAGTTAAACTCACTAAATACTGTTAAAAATATGTTTGAAATAATGTTTCAGTCAATTCACGTGCAACAAGGATGTGTATGTAAGCTACATTGTATAAATAAAACGAACGACGCTTAAAATGTAAGAAAGAAGATAGAATCGATATATAAAGATCCAACTCTCTGTCTATCGATTGTTTACGTAAATATGTCGTGTTGAGGAAGTTCAAATACACATAATTCAATACAGAACGTCTTTGGAATAACTACATCCCCAAAATTGAAATCACATCCCCTGTTAAAAGCATCTGTTTCTTAGCCAGTTCACAAGTTTCAGTGCAACCTTTAAACGTTGGCATGTCAAAATCAATAGACTAGTTAAGTGGTTATAACATCACTAGGTCGAGGCAGTTTTACTCCAGATAAAGCGTTGATGGGAGTTGGAAATTCGCATAGTTTAACAGGTCAGATTAGGGTCAGTTATCGAGCTGAAGTGACCTAACGTGACATCTTAAGGGTGCAGTTATATTTGATATAGTGGCCTCCGGATTAAACTTAACAGCGAGGACAATTTTTTAAACTTGTGTGTGCACTAATCGACCAACACTGCTGAAATTTAAGTAAAGTAAATTTTAGTTTGGATTATGAATACGTTGACATATTTATTGTGCTCTTGTGTATGATATACATCTCTGCCCCACATTACAAGCTTGTTATGTTGATTCAAATGAATCTTTAATTTTGTCTACGACAATTGCACAATGTAGTACAATATTTTCATATTCATATTAATTTAATCTGAAATGGAGAATATCGCAGAATATAAATTAAGATCAGAAAGCGAACGTAAAAATATTTATCCAAGTATTTCAGTTTTTGTACAGTCGAGAACGATGTCATATCATGATCTTTATGTAGAACACAAAAATGACACAACTAAGTCACATTAGAAAGTCTTAAATTTACACATAATCAACTATACCGTTTTTTAACGTTTAGGAAACTTCCAAGTAATCCAGACAAAACACATCACGTATAAGCCAAGAGTTTGGAAAAATCTTAA